TGAAGTTATCCCTGCCATAAAAAAAAAAAAAAAACACAAAAATAGCAGATCAAACATCTAATTCATTAAACGGGTTCAAGTTTATAAATTACAGTGAGTAATTAACGTAAAAGATGAAAGAATGAATGGATCACCAGTGCCATTCTTTGTCAATCTGCTTGAAATCAACCCCCTGTTGGATGATCCGGCGATTTCTTGTGAGGAAGAGCATGTTGGTGTAACTAGACCATAGCTGGTGAATTACGGCTCGAAGTATGCATAGAAGGAGAATATGGAGACACCAGCTGGTGGTGAGTAGTGTGAGGGGATCCTCCTTCTCATGGATTATTGAATACAAGACTTTTCCGATCAAAGGTCCGAACAGCACATACTGTAATTATTTCAACCAAATCCCATATATACATATATGTATCAGTACCAATTAATTACTCTGAATCTAATATGTAATAGACATACAAAATTACAGGAAAAACAAAAGAAAGGATAAGTAGCATATACATACCTTGAAGGAGCCTAGGTATTCCCAAGGCCAAGCAGACAAGGGAGCACCCATATTAATTTCCCTAAATCTTTTGTATGTATGTATATATGTAAACGCTCCTGATCGATAATCCCAAATTCCTGAAGAGGACTAGTTGGTTGTTGATGAGAAAGAAAGAGCTTTCCAGAAAATCTCGCAAGGCTAGACAAGGTAGCTAGCAAGATAATCACAAAAAAGATGTACTATAAGAGAGAGGAGGGAGGCAATATTCACCCCTTAATTTGCGTAATGAAATTGCCAAGCTACCTAGCAGCAATTGTGTATGAGTGGTTGTTGCCTCCTCAACTATTTAAATTAATCTGATCTCTCTCTCTCTCTCTCTCTCTTGAAGATATTGAAGATATCTGTATATGTTGGTAGGGCTGGAGCTTGGTTTGTTATATAGAAGAAAGAATAGGGAGGGAGGGAGAGTATCACATCCAATACAGTTAGAGATCTTAATTTATGATCGGTCTCTCTCTCTCTCTCTCCCCGTTTGTCTCTGATATATATTTTGTCGTTGTTATAGGTTAGTCAGGCAGGCAATTCGCTTGGACGGTCATAAGTCACCACCTCAACGGTTCAAGGCCTTTATGTTTTTCTTCTATGGCGTGCGAATTTCTACGCGTTGGATGGCATTTTCACAACACAACACACCGTGTATACTTATCAAACTGACACAGCTGTAGAGGCTGTGTAGTCATGGCCTAATAATCCCACAACCAAATTTAATGCCTCATACGGTTGGGAAGCTTGGCAGTACCCAACCAGTTTCCCCTTGTTGGCCTTTCTTCGTAATTTCCTTATCAACTCTTGTGACATCATCAATCATAACATTAATATGCACTAAGTAACCGTCACACTAGATTTGTCATCCAATAATCCCTAATTTTCTAGAATCTGAATTCGGCATTGCAAAAGAATGGACTTTGCATGTATGTGTTTATAAGTAGTTGAGTTACTCTACATATTACCAATTGGATTTATGATAGACCATCAACTTTCTCATCATGATATAAATAAGAGCAAATTGTTCTGCGTGTGAAGTTTAACAACCACACGTGCTCTAGGTCACCCAAATTGTGTTGTGCACATGCTAAGCGTGAAAATTCTCCACACAGAGTGTGATGAAAGTATAAATCGTTTAGCTTGCTTGAGTCCATAAATAGATCTTTGAAGCTTGCATAATTTAGTCTTTTCAAACTTGGACACGGAGCCTTCAGGTTGAGTCATATATATAGAGCTTTTCCTCTAGGTAGTCATTCAGAAAGGCTGTCTTCACATCTATTTGCCAGATCTCTTAATCATAGTATGCAGCTATAGCAAGCAAAATCTGGATGGACTTAATCATGGCTACATAAGAGAAGATTTCTTCATAGTCAATCACTTGTTATTTGTGGCCTTTGGCTACTAGTCTAGCCTTATAAGTTTCCATGTACTCATTGGCGCCTATCATTCTCTAGACCCATTTGTTTCCAATTGGTTTTATACCATGTAGAAGGTCTATTAGAATCCCGACTTGATTTTAACACATGGAATCCATTTCGGATTTGATCATGGCTTCTTACCCTTTTTTTAATTAATGTCGACATTAATCAGTGTAGTCTGTATGGTCCTCATTTCTATCATTGTCACTAAGAAAGTGCAACTCTCCAAAACTCTTATCCATACAATACCTTTAATGTAGGTTGCTGATCCTGTTAGATATACGTGGAACATGGGTTTATGAACATGGTTATCAATTTGTTGAGTGGTTGTTTGTGGTTCGTCATTAATCTCATTAATATCCACCGTTCTATTTGGAGCTTCTTTTCCTTTTGAAGCTTAGCAGTATTGGTGACACATATTTTCTAGTCTTTAGGATGGTAGAACTCGTATCCCATAGTTTGTTTGGGATACCCCACAAGGTAACACTTGACTGATCTCGCACAAGCTTGTTATCTTGAATCTTCTTAATGTATGTTTAACAACTCCAAATATTAATAATTAAGAATGTCGACATTAATGAGTGTAGTCTGTATGGTCCTCCTTTCTGTCATTGTCACTACGAAAGTGCAACTCTCCAAAACTCTTATCCATACAATACCTTTAATGTAGGTTGCTGATCTTGTCAGATATACATGGAACATGGGTTTATGAACATGGTTATCAATTTGTTGAGTGGTTGTTTTTGGTTGGTCATTAATCTCATTAATATCCACCGTTCTATTTGGAGCTTCTTTTCCTTTTGAAGCATGTTGGTATTGGTGACACAGATTTTCTGGTCTTCAGGATGGTAGAACTCGTATCCCATAATTTGTTTGGGATACCCTACAAGGTAACACTTGACTGATCTCACACGAGCTTGTCATCTTGAATCTTCTTAATGTATGTTTAACAACTCCAAATATTAATAATTAAGACTTGGCTTTTTGCCATGCCATATCTCATACAGGGAACGTCTGTGAAACAAATTTAGAAGGCACTTTATCAAGCAAGTAAATTGTTGTTTGTAGCGCATATTCCTAGAATGATAATGGTAGATCAGCAAAAATCATTTGGTTTCTCCTCTTAGAAAACTCCACTAAGTTAAGAAGTTTATGGTGGAGTCCATCGTTATACTGTTCCACACTCTTTGAGTTAATCTAGGAATTCATTAATCAGATGCTCATCCCATCGATCTGATATTAGGGCATTTATCTGTTTTTCAGCTTGATTCTCTACTTCATTCTTGAATTCTTTGAACCTTTCAAAAAATTTTGACTTGTGTTTCATAAGATATACATAGTCAAACCAAGAGTGATCATGGATGAATGTGATGTAGTAGGAGAAGCCTTTTCTTGATGTGGTAGACATAGGTCCACATGTACATTAGCGTGGATTAACCCTAATATCTAAGAGACTCACTCTCTTCACCCAGTGAAGGGAGAATTGGACATCTTCCCCTTTAAACAAGACTCATAAGTGACCACTTGGTTATTACTTAATGAGATATTCATCTTTCGACATCTTGCGAATCTTATCAAGGTTGCATGTCCAAGTTTAAGATGTCACGTCTTAACTTGATTAATTTCTTCTCTTGCTCTTTAGGGTTTTGAGGTATTCCTACTCCCAATACAGTGCAAACCATTACAAGTCTCTAGGTGAAAAAGTACCTCGATCATATTACAATGAGAGATGACACGACTGGTCAAGTATAAAGCACAACTCATCTTATCAAACAATATTGAGTATCCATCTCTTAAAAGCATAGGGATGGAAATTAAGTTCTTTATATATGAAGGAAAATTTAAACAATTTTTAAGTTTCAAGATTTCCTAGAGTGTAGTTTGGGCATGTAAGTGCCAATTCCTTTTGTAGAGATTTTAGTGTCATTCCCAACTCCCACAATCATCTTCCAATTGCAGATATGTTGACTAGCAACTGAATCAAATATGTAGGAGATGGTCACTTACTAAACAACACTCTTTATGATAGAAATACTCCCTTCAAATGTTCTTGTCATAAGGCTTGTGATAGGATTTTTATTAATTGTGCAAATAGGGTTAAAATCACGTAAATTACTTGCAAGAGTACAAGGAAATTATAGTATAATCACTCATCCAAGGTCGTCCTCCATAAGGATTTTTTTGACTAATTTATAATTGAACTAATTCTTAATTAATTATTTAAAATAGATTTTATCAAAATTTTGAGATTTTTGAAATTTAAAATATTAAAATAATAATAAAAGAAATCTGGAAATTTGAAAATAACGGCAGCAAAGAAGGAAAAACGTTCTTTAAATAAAAACAATTATGGGAAAGATTAGGGTTCCGCCGACATCATTAACAATTCTATGCAATCTCCATCCTAATTCGGCGGTAAAATGAGTAGTTTCTACACTCTTTTGAGTTACTCAACTCCCCCAAATAAGTACTAATTTCACGTTTTTCATTGAAAAGATTATAAAAATAACCTCTCCATCTGTCTTTGACTGTGTTCAGGATAGCAATAACATTTTCATTCTCATCCTTGTTGCACCTCACTTCGATTAGGTCCCTTGTCTTCTTTTCCCTTGCTCTAGCTAATTTATAGATAAGGAGTGTGTGAGAAATAAAAAGGGAAACATGTCCCTAAACTTAACACCACTTGACACCGGTAGCTCTCTAATCCAACTCTGTTATCTTCTTAATTGAATAATCCAAATTCCTCTCTTGCAATCTGCTCTATTACTTCACAGTTCTCCATCTTTGACTTCACTGGAGCATCGTTAATCTCCATAAATATCTAATTAATTCCTTTTCTTAATCAGAAAATTAAAACTTTCAAAACCCAGAAACTCAGTTTGGATGTTGAGTTAAATGCGTCGGGTCTTGCGGTGCTGATCCTCCATGTCTACGAGCCCATGTAATTTGGTGGAAAAAAATTCGGGCGGTTGCAATGTCAAGGGATTGGATGGAGAGAGACAGAGATGTGTTACAGATCAGTGGTGGTTTTCAGGGTTGGGTCAGGGCTTTTTATTTTGTTAAACTTTTTTTTTTCTTAGAATAATATTAATGCTAGTTTTCAACCAGCAATAGACGCGCTTTGGTTAGAACCTCATTAGCTGCGTCATTGCCCAAAGCGCAAAAATAATATTAGTGCTAGTTGACAAAGCTAAATAGTGTTAAGTTCTATGACATGTATCAAAAAGTTAGAGAGGCCAGAGAGATGGCACATATAAAAAGGGTGCAGAATATTTGAAGCTGACTGGAGGTAGATAATTCCATGGTAATCACCACCTAGCATTCAGGTCGATAATTCCATCTTAGATACTTTTTATCTTATACTTTATGCATATTTATAGGGAAATTGCAAAAAATGACACATTTTTTTTAGTCTTTGGACTGAAATAAGGCAAACCGTTCATGCACAATCAATGCATACCATGCACAAAAATGAAATGACGAAAATACCTAAATATAAATTGTAAAAACTCACATGTGATGACGTCCTTTTTTTTTATATATATTTTGAAGAGAGAACTGTGAACTCTGATTTTTGAGTTGGCTCATATCTGTTAGCATATCGTGTGCATGTCGTGTGGATGTCACTAGAAAGAGATGATTTTTAATGAGATTTCCATAATCTAGGTTCAGGTCAAAGATTTGTAAACTACAGATCTTTAAGAGATTTTCAGAATCTAGGCCCCCACATATCCAACAGCGTCGTTAATTGCACGATGCACATCCACAACAACACCGACGTCATTGCACGTATCATCCGTAGCTTCATTTTTAACCTTTCCCAAACATATTTTCTCAAAATAGAGGCAAAATATACTCACCAAATTTGCTCCAAAACTCACCAAAATAATTGAAGACTCTCCAAAATACTCACCAGCAACAGGTTCATTTTGAATATCTGGGTCCAACTGCCGCTTCACTTTCTAGGGAATATGCTTCCTCTTTTCCAATTGCCAGGTGAGAAATGTGCAGAAAAAAAATTGAAGGGGGAAAAAGATTGAAACTTTACTGAAAAGCCCCAGCTTGGAGAGTCCCATCCAGATCTTTGAAGCATTGATGGCTGAAAAACTGGATGGGAATGTGAAAAGCATTTGAAAAATGCAAATGGGTTCATCTTCTCATTCTTAAAAAATGGTTGTTTTTTTTTACCAGAGAACAAAAATGGCTACTTTCTAACCCCAAAAAATGGTTGTTCTTCTTGTCTCTAGTATAGGTGTGGCGGTGCAAATGACCTCTGGCTACTTTCTAACCCAAAAAAATGGCTACTTTCTAACCCCAAAAAAATAGGACATAAATAGGATTTTTAGTCCCAAACATGGTTTTTCTTTATGTCCTATTGTTGTGCATAGCGTGTGTATATTCTGTGCATCTTTGGTTTGTCCTATTTTAGTCCTAAGATTAAGAAAATAGGTCATTTTTGACAATTTCCTTGTATATATATTTGTCAATGTTCTAAAAATTGCTAGGTGGTAATCGAGTGGCTGGGAGAGGCTTAGTGTATGGGCCTTAGGAAATTTTTTAATTAATATATTATATAACTTATAAACAAGTGTCTATATTTACTTTAAAAAATTATACTTATTAATCCACAAAATTGAGTTGACCTTGAATCAACTTAGATTTGATCGTCAAAGCACACAAACACACATGAACACAACAAGATATAATGGGATTCATCTAAAATTGGACTACGTCCACATTAATAGATAACACTAGTGACACATCAGCTTAAGTGAGCTGATGTGTTGTCTTAAGATAGTTTAAGTGGTGTAAATATAAGTTTGCTTTATGTAATGAGCTATTTATGATATCCTGAAGGGATAAGGTCTGTAATTTTCGTTCTTCACATAAATAAGAAAATCAGTCTTCCTCTCTTAGCTTTTATCTTCAAGCTTTCTTTGTTACAATCATTGTGGTTTATGGTTTCGATCATGGTATCATCGTGAGCCATATGCTTAGCAGCATTTAATTTCTTTGTATCTCATCATCTACGCTTCGTTTGGTACTCATTATTTGGTTCGTCGACTTTGCGATCTATCTTTGGGACTTCATGATTTCCGCTCGCCATTGAGAAGTTGTCATTTGTCTGGAATTCATCAATCGTACAAGTTTATCATACCTATCTCTGACTCTTCAGCTATGGATATTCTTCGTAACATTTCTGATTTCATGTCTATTAAATTGGATGGCACAAATTATGTTGAAAGTATGCCCACAAAGCCACTCATTTGATGTAATAGCTTTTGGAATACTTATTGTATTAAACTTTTTGTTGGAAATGTGCCCTAAAACCAATCATGTGATGATACTTTACGGACATTTCACATGTTAAACTAATCTAGTTTAATATAAAGGGCAAAGATTATTGTTTGAGCCGTCTCATATAAATGTTATATGCTTAAACGATAAAGTCCAAGGAATATGTGATTGGGAGAATGCAATCTAATGAAGTTAGATTCATGAGACCATTCTTTCGTAGACACATCCTAAATGTTCCTGATCATAGGATTGTCAATTGGGCATTGACAGTCCGTTAAGATCGGTACGTACTGTGTCTTCTCTTAGGGAGAGTGACTAGTCTCGAGTCATTGGTGTGTGTGACATCAAGACAAGTACGTAGGTGCTCAATAGAGAATGAGTTCACTGAACACGATCAACGAAGAGTTCTCATATTCATGTCACATGAGAACTCATGGTTGGGATAATGCAAAGTAGTCCTTTGACCTGAGGCATCACAGTTGTCTTGTGGTTAAGTCCTTGATCTTTGATTATGTCAAACGTCATTCCATTGGAGTGTCCACTGCATCGTTGGGGTTAAGCCACTTAGCCATGGAGGCAAGTGAATGCGCAACAAGGGATCTCTAACCTTCAAACCGTTTGAGGGAGAATACTCTATGATATGATTAAAACCTCTGGCCAGAGTATGAATGAGATTTAGAAATGTCGTTCTAAATCACATTCAAGGTAATCATATAAGCACACGAATCACATTGGATAGTAGACATGAATAAATAAACTATCAAACCAAACAATGTGGTCAAGAGTATTAGTATTAGAGAAAGACCGTATTGCATTTGTAATCCTAAACTGAATAGGTTCTCCACCTCTTCTGATTAGCTTGGGTAACCATGATATGCTGCTAGGTGTCACTCATGGTTTGTGGAAGCCCTAAACGTGTATAATCACTAAAGGGAGAATTGAAAGTAAGTTTCAATTCACAATCGATTGTAAAATGAGTTTTAATCGCCCACTGCCTCGCTAAAAGGAACCTAATGGATCGTACACCGTGTAAGGTGGAGATTGAAGAAACAATGGAGATGAGTAAGAATAATTAAATGGTTTAATTATTTATGGCAAGGATTAATTAATATGTTAATTAATCAAACGAATAAGTTCGTTAAAGACCTCGGGATAGTTTTGGACCTTAAGGCCCAATGGGCTTTCGAACGTCAAGCCCATTAACTTAAGTTGTATGACAATTTAATGAATAAAGATTCAAAAAGGCCCAAAAGCCCAAATCCCTTTAGGTGGCCGGCCATGAAGGAGAAAATTGGTTTTGGTTCTTTAGGTCACTTATTTGAAGAGACTATATAAAGGACTTTATAGCCTAAAATTCATTAAGGGCTTCTTTTTGGAGAAAATTGGTGAGAACATGTCTCTCCTTTTCTCTCTCTAGGAGGAAGGCCACCTTGGAGGGTACATCTAGCAATCCTACTACTCCAAGGTCACTCATTTCTTCTACAATCTAACCTTGGTGAAGAGACTTAGAGGTTCTCAATTTTGGGAACTTGGAGAACCATATTCTTCCATCCAAATCCATGGATCTAAGAATGCAAGGAATGAAGGCCCTCTCTTTGGGTGATTAGCCTTTGCTTATGCAAAGAGGAATCTACAAAGGTATAAATTTTCAACTCACTTTGTTTTGAGTTGATTAATGGTTCACCAATCTACTAGGCTTTGAATTTCTTGGTTAATGTTTTGTTTTTTAAGTGCATGCTAGCATGATTCCGCCTTTAATTGTTAATTGCATGCTATATGATGTTGCTTAAATGAACATGTTTTCACAAAATATTCCTTTCAAGTGGTATCAGAGCCTAGGTCTAGTAGTTGGTGAATCCTTTTGGGTTTTGGGTTTTGTAGTTCATAGTTTGTGATTTAAAAGTTGTAATATGTTACAAGCTTTATTCTTGTTTCTTTGAATGTAAATTTTGTTAGAAAATTTGCCATCTCAAATGTTGTAGATGTAGTTCATATGAGCATGAATATTGGAGCTAAAATTTGGTGCCATGACTTTGGGAAAATTCGGCCAAATCCAAAGGGTGGATTTTTGGGTTCTTGTTTGACTTGTTAAAAGTGTTTTCAAGTGACTTTTGGAACCCCTATGTACCCTAGTTTGGTTATATGTTATTTCCCTAAAGTTTGAATGGTTTTGGGATGTTTTTGGATGAAAAATGTTCATGGAGCTCTTATGGGTTTTCATGGATGTTCTTCATTGTTCTTGACATTTTTGCCAAGAACAAAAAAAGGTTTGATGTTTTGATTCAAAGTTTTGGTTAATTTCATAAAGTCTTTGTTTTGTGTTGGTTGATGTGAATTTTCTATCACCAAAACATTTATTTTGAAAGGTGATAGAAATTGTGATGGGTGTGTAAGACCTTACACACCTTACACACCACATGCATGGTTTTATGATTCACAACAACCAAATTCCACTTGCAAGGCTTTATGACTTAGTTGAAAAAATTTCCAAATTTTTGTGGACTTATCTCCACTCCCTTTCCCTCTCTAAAAACCGGCCCTCCCTCAATGGGAGTACTTTTGGGTCTTTTATGCAATTACATAAAGTTTTGATACTTTTGTGTATTTGCACTTTGGCCCAAAAGTTTACGTTTTTACGTTTAGGTCCAAAAACGCTAAAGGACAAATTGTTTTGCTCCTTTAATGAAGTTTTTGCATTGATTAAATTTTGGGTTCTATTGTAATTACATGAAGTAGTGGACTTTTGTGTCTTTACAAAGTGACCCCAAAAGTTTTGCAATATAGCCCAAAAGTTGAGGTTAATTGCTTTATGGCCCAAATTAGGTAGAGAACAAAATTGTTTTGTCTCTTTAAATGAGAATTGGATTTT